AAGAAAATTTTTGATGAAATTATGCATACGAGTAATTATTTTAAGGTAATTTTATTTTCGCAGGGGTCACATCAAAATTAATTGAACCAAGTCCTTAGAATTATTACATTTGACCGTTCTTAATTATCGTTTAACGTATTTCAACACATAGTTTTTTTTGTCATTCTCACTCAAGATTAATTGGATCTTTTCATTCCCATGATGTATGAAGCACGTTTCTTCAATCAGGAGTGCCATCGAAGATTGAACCTTAACCAAAGCAACGTGATCGGTCCCACGAATGAATATCGTCCTGCCCTTTTCTTTAACCACAAACTATTGTCCTACTTTTCGTCAAGTTCAAACTCTCCAGAAATATCTCTTCACCTTTTTTTATTCATATATAATTTAACTTTCCAGTACATTTGAATAAGGGAAGAATGATAGATGAATCTTAAGATAATTAAATAATTTAAATTAAGTTTAAAATGTTAAAATTTTAAAATTTTAAAATTATAAGTTTATTTTATAATTTTATAATTTTATTATAATAAAATATAATATTTGTTAAATTTTAATATGATTGAAGGATAAGTAAATTTATTTTTATTAAAATTTATAACATAAGTTATAAAATTCATAACAATGAGTTATAAAATTAAAAGTCAAGCTTATAAATTCTTGAAGTTTGACATTTACAATCTACTTTAAATTAATTGATCCTTTATAACCTATCTGTCATTCCACTCTGAAGAAATATGTGTGAAAAAAAAATTTTTTGCTGCGGAAAAAAAAAACCATGCTCTAAATACAATCTCACTCTTTCCAATTACTTTTTTTATACACAAAATAAATATATTTGAATAAATTTAAAAATATCATTGTATTAATATGGAAGATTAAGTTATAACCTGGGTAACAACCTTAAAAAAACTGTTAATGATAATTTTTTTATAAAAAAATACCCCTCTATACCAAATTATAAGATAATTAAAACAACAATTACACATATCTATAAAACGTAATAATAATATTTTATAAACTTATTTTTCAAAACAAAAATACTTTCTCCCTCCACAGTTATAAGATAGTGAAAAATATCATTTGTATCAATAAATATAACAACGATACTTTAGCAACTATTTCTTCAAAATAAAACTGTAAACTTTTAACAATATCCTTATATTATTAATCGTTACAATATTACTTCAAATCTTTCTCTACTCAAGGGTAATGTTCAGAAAATATTATTAAATAAAACTTTAGCTTTTTTCAAATTGTCTCATATTTTTTGATAAAAAATTTTTTTAATGTTGTTTTATAATTTAAATTGAAGGAAGTATAAACTTTTAAAAAATATTATTCATTTAATGTAACTTTAAAAGTACAATTATTTCAATTTTCTATTCTGTTGTAGAATAATATTTAAAAAAATATTATTAATAAAATTTTATTTTCAATTAAATTATTTTAAATTTTAAAATAACAAAATTTTTCCAACATTGCCATATAATTTGGGATGAGAAGCACCCCTTTCTTTAGGAATTGTATTTAAATATAAAATATTTTTAATATTTTAAAATATAATTATTATGTTTTTTTAAAAAAGTACTCATAATATTTTATATTAATTTTAAAATAAAATATTTTTAAAATAGAGATAAATTAAAAAGTTAATATCCAAAAGTTATGTAATTATTTATTAAAAATGAGATTAGGTTAAAATCCCTTTACAATCAGTTCCACGCGCGTTCTTTTATTTATTTTCTTTTCCCTTACATTTTTTCTTTTGTGGCCCAATTTTCGGCAATGAGACCGTGAACAGCACAGACGGTCAAAGACTGCCTTATGACAAATCTACCATTTCACGTCCAGCGTCTTGTCACAGTCCAAGCAACTGAGCATTCAAGGATTTAGTCTCAGCGCCAAATCCAAATATGATATTATTTTTACTTTTAACAGTTTTTATTTTTTAGTCTGAGCATAAGTGGTCCTTTCTCTGTACACACATTGAAAACGTATCTGCCAGGATCTATGATAAATCAACCTGATTCCTCTCGTTGTTTTAAATAAATAAAATAAAATAATTAGGCCTCATCACAACAATGAGTACTAAAGCACACCTGATTTGCCAATAAACCATGGTTTGGCTTGGCAGGAGGGGCGGGAAAGAAAGATTGTAATGAATTCAATTTTAAAAAATGGGATAATTATTCAACTTAAAGATCTTCGATAAAAACACGGTATGAGCAAAGGGGAAGAAAAAATTAATTACAGAAATTTAACTGCAGATAACCACGAGTTGAATAATGTAAAACTTACTTAAATAACAAGTTTATTTATGAATTTAACAAAGCAATAATTAATTTTGGTTATTTATAATTTTTTTAGTTTCAATGAAGTCTTTATAGTTTATTTTATTCGAGGTTGATCCATTAACATTGTTAACTTTTGAATGTTAATAATATTAATGAATGATTTTTTTTTTCAAATAAAAAAATTTAAAATTTTAAAAAATTTAAGTTAATACTTCTGGTCAAAAAATAAAAAATTATTTAATAACGATATTTACATTTTCTATAACTTTATATATATATAATACTATAGATTTATTCAAAAGACATAATCTAATTATGTAAATTTGTAATTAATTTTATATAATATTTTAATGAACATGTGAAAGTGTTTTTTTTTTTGCCAAAAAAGTGTTTGATTCATTTTTTTTTTTATCGAAAAAGTCGAAGGATTTAATTTTGAGGGATTACCATAGCGAATAAAACAAATTATAAATATTCAATTCAAACAAAATAAACTACTTAAACATAATTTAAAAATAGAAAAAAATCATAAATATACTTACAAATTAATTTTTTATTTAACAAATTCACTATAATATATTCAAACTATTATATCTAATTTTACATACAAGTCATATTTAATTATATCATTATAATAGAGAAGAGAGATTATCTTTAAAAATATTTTCTTAATCATATATACTCTTCTATTCTATTTATACAAAATGAGAGAGTTAGATTAAAAAAAAACATTTGACCAAAAAAAATTAGAAAATAACTAATGATATGTTTTTTGCAAAAGAATTTCAATTTGTTATACAAAGAAATTATATTAGAGCACAATAAAAAATTTGGTCTTTTGTTATGAAAATAACCATTAGAAAATAAGATATACTCTCTCTGTTTTAAAAAATATAAGGTATTTTAATTGAATCTCAATCCCAATAAAGTTGTTACCTACTTTAAACTAACAATATCTTTTTATATTTATCCCTATTAAATACCCGATAATAAATATAAAATCATTATCAATAGAAATACTTTTTGAAAAAAAGGTAACGATTACGTCTTAAAAGACTAAAAATTTCTTATATTTTTTAACATTTAACTTTTAAAAAATTATCTTATATTTTTGAACGAAGGGAGTGTATGGAGAAGAAATGGAGATAAAAGAATGAGAAAATTTTCTTTGGATTATTATCCTTTACAATATAAATAAGATGCTCAATTTACATACCTGATTTTATATTAAGAGTTATGCAAATGATGATAATAATAAAAAATAATTAACACTTATTATATTGAAAGTTTCGCTGGAGAAGACGAAGGGGTGAAGGAAATGATAAACACTTTTATATTCATTACGTTTAATTATTTTTAAGGTTATTATTGTAAAAGTGACCCTCTCAGAGTATGCGTGGGTAATCTTACCAACCGAACCGGCTTGGATTCTCTGGATATGCAATTACTAGTTATGACCCCCTCGTTCATGCCATGTCATGTCGTTTTTATTTCCACAACGTGTGTTCAGGCTTTTAACTAAAGCAACGTGGTCCCACACGGATTAATTATTGCCCCCCCACTCTTCATTATTTTCTCGACCGAGGCACTCCCTGTCTCTCTCGTCCCAATTTAATTACCAATTGCTATTATAAGAAAATACAAAAAAAATTTAGATGGAAGTAAATTTTAATACATACACTTTCAATTAACGTAAGTGGCAGAGATTCCCCAAGAATTCGAATTTCAAATTTTTCCATGACCCTCCAGTTTCATGTCGAACACGTAAAGTAAATTGAATTCTTTGGGTCTCACGAAAAAATGGACTTGATTTTCAGTTTCGTTATTATTTATAACTAATACTCAACATGTTTTTATACTCCATCGTATTTTATTTAAATAATTATTTTTATCAATATTATTAATATTAATATAATAAAAATATAAAAAATAAAAGTAAATAAATAACTCTCAAGTAAAAACAAAATTCAAATTAATAATATAATATTATTTTTTTGTTTTTTTGTTTTTTACTTTTTCAAGTAATGAATTATAAAATAAATTGAATTATATTTATAGAAAGTGATTAATATATAAAACCAGAGGAGTATATAATTACTGAACTCACATTATTCTATACAGTTAAAAAAAAAAGCTGTTTTTTTTAAACTACAAATGTCCTACATTATGAATAAAAATAGCCTATAGAAAATGATTTTCATCACCGGAGGCGGTATTATTTGGAAAGAATGACAGTAGAGCTGGAAGGATAAAAACAATAACAGTTAGATTTTAGATAAATTTTTTAAAACATATATTACAAAAAATTATTCATAATGTTATAAATAAAATTTTCAATTATAAATTGATATTTATATTTAAAATTTAAAATATTTTATTTTCAATTATAATCCTAATTTGTATTATTTGAATCGATTATTTGAATATATACTCAAACAAATCAATGATATCATTTATGATCTACTGATAGTATAATTTGCTGTAAATTCTACATTTTTACATTAATGTTGATATTAATGTTAATAGATCTAGTTGGCCAAAAAAAAAGAGGATGCTAATATATCTAAAAAATATTAATTTTAAATGTTGTTTACAAAATACTTAACGTTTTGGTAATGTAGAACAGTATCTTCCACCGCCTTTCAAAACATATAAAGCACGCCCCACCTGTGTTGATCTCATCTTCTCTGCTGTTGAACTTTCCGAGCATTCTCAGTGTTTTGAGCAACATCACTCATTCCCAAAGAGATCATGGCCGAAGCACTTCTTTCTGCTGTCTTCAATGCGCTTTTGGAGAGGTTAACACCTAACCAAGGTGACTTGATCAACTTGATTTGTGGAAAGAAGCTCGACTACAAGCTCCTTCAGCGTTTGAAGCCGTCCCTGATTGCTGCAATAGCCGTGATCAATGATGCTGAACTCAAACAACTCACCGATCCTGCTGTCAAAGATTGGCTTGATGAACTCAAAGATGCTGCTTATGACCTGGAAGACTTGATGGATGAGATTTCCACACGAGCTGCCATTCAGAAAAAGGTGCCCTGTTTCTCCTCTGCTTCTCTTCGTTTGCGTGATGCGAGCCTGGCAAATAAGTTAGAGGATATGACTGATAGAATTGAAAGTATTGTGGGAAACAAAGATGCCCTTGATTTGAAGAAGACAAGTGGAACTGAAACTTTGTCATGGAGGCCTCCAGTTACGTCTAGTGTGAATGTCTCTGATGTTTATGGAAGAGAGAAAGAAAAACAAGATATCATTAAGCTTATGTTCAATAATGATGACGGTGATCAGTTGTCTGCAATCCCTGTCGTGGGCATGGGCGGGGTTGGGAAGACCACCTTAGTCCAACTAGTTTATAATGATAATGATGTGAAGCAAAAATTTGATATTGCTGCATGGGTTTGCGCTTCTGAAGTATTTGATCATTTGAAAATAGCACAGACTATAGTAAATTCTATTGATGCTTGTTTTGTCTGTGATAACATGGATTTAAGTCTTCTTCAACATCATTTGGCTGAGAAGTTAGAAAGAAAAAGGTTTTTAATTGTTTTGATGATGTTTGGAATGACAAAATCACTGATTGGCATATTTTGAAGGATTTGATTCAGAATGGAGTGGGAGGATGCAAAATTCTTGTTACAACTCGCCTAGAGCGTGTAGCTTTGAGGGCTAAAACCATCTCATCATTTTATCGCCTCAATGTCTTGTCTGATGAAGATTGTTTGTCAATTTTTGCTGCCCACGCTTTCCATTCTAGAGTTTCAATCGTGAATTCTTGCTTAGAAGGAATCAGGAGCGACATTGCTAGCAAGTGTAAAGGATTGCCTTTAGCTGCAAAAGTACTAGGGAAAACCTGACTTTGAAGATTGGAATAAATATTAAAAGATGCCATGTGGGATTTATCGGATGAGATCATTCCAGCCTTAAGAGTCAGTTATTATTTTTCTCCCTCCCCATTTAAAACAATGCTTTACCTTTTGTTCTTTGTTCCCGAAGGATTTTCGGTTTTGTAAAGAGCAATTAATCTTGATGTGGATGGCAGGAGATTTTTTGCAACTTCCAAAGGGGAACATGACTTTAGAAGAAGTTGGTTATGCGTACTTTGATGATTTAACTTCGAGGTCATTCTTTCAACCCATACCAAATAATGAGTACCGGGGTCTTGAGTATAAACATCGTGGTGAGTTGTTTGTCATGCATGCTCTCATTCATGAATTAGCGACTCATGTTGCTGGAGATTTCTACTTCCGGTTAGAGAAGGATGGGAACAAAATTGATAAGAAGACACGCCATTTGTCATGCAACTATCAGAATCATGCATGCTCAGACCTTGAGCTTTTCAAAAAAATAAAATCCTTACGAACATTTTTAGGATTGAAATTTTGCTATATCTCTCGATTTGTTGGAAATGTTTCTCATATTCTACCATCAAATATGAAGTGCTTGCGAATGTTGTCACTTCAAGGTCTGCGTGCATTAAGGGTTGTTCCTGAGTCTATTGGGGAATTCATCCATTTGCGCTATTTGGATCTACCAAACACAAGTATTGAAAGCTTGCCTGGATCAATGTGCAAGATGTATAATTTACAGACGTTGTTGTGTTTTTGTCAGTATCTTGAGGTGCTCCCAAATGACATGCAAGATCTTGTAAATCTTCGCCATTTGGATTTGTCCTCATCAAACAGGATTGTAAGTTTGCCTAACTCATTGTGCAAATTATACAATCTACAAACATTGAAGTTAAAAGATTGTCGGCGTCTGCAGATGTTGCCAAGCGATACACAAGATCTCGTAAACTTGCGGCATCTTGATGTTAGAAACACAAGTTTGAAAGAAATGCCGAGGGGATTGGGCAAGTTAAAAAATTTGCAATTTTTGAGTGAATTGTTGTTGGAAAAGAGCAAGGGATCGGGATTGGAGAATGGGAGAAATGCCAAATTTAAAGAGTTGGATTGTAATTGAAAAGTTAGAGAATGTCAGGAATGGAAACGAAGCCTATGAAGCGAGGATGACGGAGAAGAAGCACATTAATGATCTAACATTATCATGGTCAGAGTATGGCGACGGGGAAGAATCAGCAAGAGAGAGAGATATTTTGGACAAGCTTCAACCTCATTGGGATTTAGAAGAACTGGAAATAGAGAGTTAGAGGGGCACACCATTTCCAGATTGGTTGGGGAGTCCTCGCTACTACAACGTGACTTGGCTGCGACTGGATAACTGCAAAAAACTGTTGCATGCTTCCCCCCCTTGGGCAGCTCCCGCCTCTAAGGACATTATATATTGAAGGATTAGAAAGTATTGAGAAGATTGGTGAAGAGTTGGTGAAGGTCAGCGAATGTGCTCCCATGATACCATTTCCATCTCTTGAATGTCTTAGTTTTCAAGGATGACTTCGTGGACAGAAGGGCATTCCATTGATGTGGAAGCTTTCCCTAAACCCCAACAACTCAAATTAAATAGATGTTCTAATTAGTTGGAAATTTACCTAGCCAATTACTTTTTCTAAAAACTCTAGAGGTCAAAGGGTGTCCGTTGCTGGCTTCTTGTATCCCAAGGTGTCCCAAAATTCAGGATTTATTGACAGGTGGAAGTGGAAGGGTCCGGTGGCAAGAGCAAGAGCTACCTCCTTCCCTTAGGAGGCTAGAAATTACAGGACGTCGGATGTCAAAATCAATGTTGGAGGCACTCTCTAAACATTTGCATCTTCAAAAATTGATTATCTCGGAATGCTCCAATACATCACATCAAATGATTCATATGCCTCCATCACTACAACAGTTAGAGATAAACAATTGTCATAATGTTGATTTTGTGTTGAGTTCAACTGCTTCTCTACAAAATCTCCAATATGTAACTTTTAGGTGGGCTTGTAATATTGTGAAGTTTATGTCGGATGACATGAAAGGTCTTCTCCCAAATTTAAAACAGCTACGTATAGATAGTTGTAAAGAGATGGAAGCATTTCCAGAAGGGATCCTTGTGCCAAGTTTGAGGGAACTTTATATTAGATTGTGTAATTACAAGCTATTATCCCATCAAGCAGAGTGGCACCCTCCTAACTAATATTACTTACCTTCATATTTTTTGTTCAAATGTCCAATGTTTCCCGGAGGGCTTCTCTCTTCCTACCACGCTCACCACTCTGGAGCTCTTTCGCTTCTTCAACTTGGAGACATTAGATTGCAAAGGACTTGAGCACCTAACATCTCTCCAACAACTCAACATCAGTTTTGTCCCAAGCTGGAGAAAATGTCAGGAGAAAAGCTGCCTTCTTCTTTAAGAAGGCTTTGCATTAGGAGTTGTCCGTTGCTTGAAGAAAAATACCACAAGAAGGATGAAGATCTTACGCGCCGCATATCCCACATCCCACTCATCCAGTTTCTTGGTTCCTAAATTCCTGATGAGATACAATTATCCACAAGGTGCTTATTCTCCCTCCCTGTTCCAATTGATGCTACTTTTTTTTTTTTTTTGCCAAAACAATTGATGCTACTCTACTTTCAAGCTTTATGAAAAAATCCTTGATCATCCGCATGGTATTTATTGGATTGGAGATTTCCCACATCACTTGTCTCGTTCCTTGTTTAACTTCTAGGATATGATCATTTTTTTATAATTTAATATTTTGTGTATATATATTATAGTGACTTTATACTCTGTTTTTATTATTTTCGAAATGAAATTAAATGACTATATATGAGTACACATTTTAAGAACTGACTTAAGTATCACAATTTGCAACTTCATGAATTAAATTGAGGTAACATCCCGTGTTTCTTTTAAATTATTGTAAATGTTGAATAACATAACTGGTAAATATATATATATATATATATACACACACGTGATCTGGCTCAAAGCATATTAATTCATTAATTTAGCTACTCATTGCTCGTCCTAGACAGAAAAACAAAAGATATAACACGTTTGTGAACTGCAACTTCATGAATTAAATTCAGGTAATAATCTTATTGCTGGCAAATATTTGAGAACATAGCTATATTTTGCCACTTATTGCTCCTTCTACGCAAAAAAATAAAAGATATAACACGTTTACATGGTCCATTATATTTACAATTGAAAATGTTGTACAATTGTAACTGTTTTTCCTATTACTTGTATTTCGTTTTTCCTTTAAATAATTAATATTGTGTATATAAATATTTATAGTGACTTCATACTCTGTTGTTATTTCCCTAATGAATTAAATAAGTATTAATTATTATCAGGGTGAAAATGTTGTGCAATTGTAACTGTTTTTTGTATCACTTGTATTCGTTTTTCTTTTGATGATTAATATATTGTATATAAATGTTTATAGTGACGTTATACTCTGTTCTTCCTATTTCTCTAATGAATTAATGAATTAAATGACTATAAGTACGTGGTGCATTTTTAGAACTAAACTATATACATATATATAAGATATATTAATTTTCTAGTTCATGAATTAAATTGAGGTAACAATGTCGTGTTTATTTAAATTATTATATTGTAAATAGTTGACAACATAGCTGGCTCAAAGCATTAATTCTTTATATAATAAAAGATATAACACGTTTTCATAGTCAATTATATTATATTTACAATTTCGTTACTTTTAATATTGGTGAAGTACTCCCTCCAGTCCACTTTATTACTCACCTTCTAAAAGGGTGAAGTAATTCACTTTATAAATTATTAAATTGATAATAATGTTTTGTTTTAAATAAAATATCTAAACTATCCTTAAAAAGTAAGAGAGAGAGAGAGAAGCAAAAAAATAATATTATATAATTTATTTACTTTTTGAGGATTATGCTTGTTATTTTATTAAATTTTATTCTTTATATTTTTGTTATATTGGCATTAATGAAGTTGGTAGAAATAATTTATAAATAGCACTGGAGGAAGTAATTTGTTTGGTCTCAAAATTATTCCATTATATTGAAGCTACATTCTAGACAAGCTTTTATTTATGCATTATTTTTTTTTATCTTTTCTATTCGCATTTTTCTTATTAATTATGGGTTTATTGCAGGCAGTGTCCAACTTGATATGAGCTAGTTCTAATTAATGAAAACAACATATAGTGGTGCTTCTTCACAAGATGTAATGTTGTGATTAAGATCCTTCATATATTCCTATTTAATGAGGTTTTCAACTCAACCAAAATGCTTTTGATTTCTTCATTCTCTCATAATCTGCTTGTTTAAATATTCTTATTATGGGTTTATTTAAAATGTTGCAGCAGCGAAAAAGATATAAAGGGATTTGCAGACTTCAATCTGTACTGAGAAGAAACTCTCAATGAAATCTCATAGAGTCCAAGTCCTCTTGTTCATCAAGTTCCTGATCATCCTCACGAGCATTTTGTTCTTTTTTCTTAAAGTGTTTTCGGATAAGTTCATAAAGACTTGTTTGTAAATTGTATGTTGTATTGTGATTGCTCATTACTTTTAAAATTCTCAGGCTTAATGCATGGGAGAGGATGTAGGGTTCAATTTTTGAATCCAAACTTCTATACATCGAGGTATTATCATTTGATTTTTTTTTAATTTTTAAATTCCAAACCATCGAAAGGATTTTATTTTAAAATGTAACAAGGAATATACTCTTTTCAATCAAGCTAACATGCTTGTTTACAAAATAGATATTATATGAATTCTTTCAAAATATTCCTTTCATTTAAAAATGTAAGATATTTTTAATTGAATTTTACCCTTTAATAAAGTAATTAGCTATTTTCAAACTAACTTTATTTTTTTATATTTATTCTTATTAAACATTTTATAATAAATATAAAGTCATTATCAATAGAGGTATTTTTGAAAAAAAAAATAATGATTACACTTTAAAAGATTAAAAATGTTTTATATTTTTGAACATTTAATTTCTCAAAAAAATGCTTTATATTTTTTGAAAGGGGTAACAATTTAAATTCCTCTCTTTTGTGTCTTTGCTTATTCTGTGTAGTGATCATATAATAAGGATGATGATCACATAAAACATATGCCGAAACCATAATAAAAGGTGTTAAAACTCAAATGAATATTCAAGTGATTCATAGATTAATTAGAAAATTATAGTTCTGCACTAACTTACGTGTAAAATAGTAAAGAGATTTAGTGCATTTTTATGAATGTATGTTACATAACTAGCTTTTTCTAATTGAGTGCCTTGTTATTTATAGCATCGGATTGCTGCTGAAACATTTGAGGACATTACCATTGTACAACAAGTGGCCCTTTTTGTGCCAGAATGCAAAGTTATTTCTAAATGTCTAAATAGTATATAAAAGCAGACCTTACCTTCTTTTTGCAATGTAAATTCGAAGACTTTCTAATTGTAATTGCTACGTCAATTTCCAAAACTTGTCAAATAATTATCTAAATCCTACATGGACCATTAATTTTCTAGAATATTTTGTATATTACTTTTCCCAATTCTGCTACTTTTCCATATCTCATTCACTGACAACTGGAGTAAATGAGTCCTAAAGATTGAGTTTTTGAGGACTTTTGCTGTAATTTTTTGGGTAAACTAATTAAAGGTCAAGGTTAATTTTTTTAACGATAAGATGTTTAGTGCACCATTTTCAACTGTTAAAAAAAAATTGCACCACACATAAGTTTTGAATACATGCTTCTAAGCAAACTAGCATTGATTTCCCGTGCGAGAAGCATCAACTTACATTACATAGATACTTATAAAATTATTCACTTTCATACAAATAGGCTAACAACTACATACTCATTGTTCATTCCACATATGATAACATATGAAATAATATGTCAAACATTAGTTGTTTCCATTTATTGAACACCTCTGTATAAACTACATTATAATTTATAGTGATAAACTTATATTATCATGCGACAAAATCTTCAATCCCTTCATACTTCTTACTATTGAAAAAGCAATATATAATAGCCATGAATAAATAAAGGCTTGAATAAATAAAATTTAATTGAAGTAGAGTGGTTTATATTTCTTAGCATTGAACTTGTCCATATCTATTCTTCTTTGTTTTGAACTTCTTTTCCCTAATAATTACAATCAATTTATACTTCTCCGCGCTCTTCACAAAAAGCCCATACATTATGATTAATTTTTTTTTTGGAAAAACATACATTACGATTGTTAGTGGAACAATAATTTCCTACTTAGTTATTTTAATTCATTAACCTTTGTACTTATACAAATTATATGGGAAAAGTAATAGTATTATAATAAATTAGGTAAGCAATTGGGATGTCGAGAGAATTTTTACGACAACGAATTAACGATATAAATATTACTTAAAACATTTGTACTTGTAAAAATAGAATAATTGTTTTCCCATCCCCATGATTATACTTTCAATTCCATCCAAAATGAAGGAACAAAACTTGAAAAAGAGCTTCTTAAGATATTAAAAAAAAGGCTAATTACAAAAAGAAATTTATCAATCGAGATTATATAAAAATTTCTGGCACTAAGTTAACAAATTAATAAAAAAGATCTTAAACAATAGACGATGGATATTTCAAGCATTACTTGCAGCTGGAAACAATCACACCGTAAGACGACTTGAAAATGCATGTGCGCACACTCTCAACTACTTGTTATGATTTTCTTTTCTTTATTTTATAATTTTTGGGGTTTCTTGATGCAACCATGAAAAATGCAATAGCTGCTCATTCAAAGTCATGACAAATTGCATGCAAAACCTTATTTCTCGATTCTAGCATTCTAAATAAATATTATTGGAAAGTTAAACAAATCCCATGGTTCAATGGGCTATCAACTTTAAGTCTTGTCAAAAATTCCAATTTTATTGTTTTTGACATACTATATGGGAGATGAATGAGGCCACATCTATACAAAGTCTCTGATGCAGACTAATACATCAATAAACTGGAGGCATATAAATATCAAAAGAGAACAGAACTCCCAGAAAGTTGTCAAGTCCGTCCATACAAATCAATTGCAAGAAATCAATGACTTCTGTTATACATACGCAACTGCTCTTGGGCCCAGACACGCCAAGTGCTAATTGACAGAGAAAAATAAAAAAGAAACCAAAAAAACTCATAACTTCACCTTACCATGTCTTCTATTTTTTCCTTTCTAATACATTTCTCATAATGTCTACAGTCAGAATTGCAAGGCAAATAAGTTCTCCAATGGTACATTGCCATCTCGGACTTGCAACTTTACTTCATTAAACAACAATCTATACCACAACTGTGAACTCATATCCCATCTCCGCTTGAATCTGTTTGCTAGCCTTAGATGAATAAATCCAAAATTATCTGTGATGAAGCAATTCGTTTCAGTATAGTACATAGGAAAACATCTTTCACAAGGGAAAGGAATACATAGTTGATTTTAACATTTACTAATAAGTACAAGTCATGATAAGACAACATCTAGTAATACAACTCATTCTTCCTTATCTTGGTGTCCTTAAGATATCAGAAATAAGATATAAGAATCAAAAGATATTAAAGTGATAGAGGACAAACCAAGTCATGCCTTTTTGCTATACGAATATGCATAGCAAATAACTTTATTTTCAACTCAGAAAGGCAAGTGAAACAAACTAAAATGCCAAGGGAAGTTGGCAAAACAAAAGGGAATTAATGATTTCAAAAGCTTAAGGGATGAAGTGATTGATTGATTAGCAAGCAACTAACTACCTTTACACTTTTCCATATCTTCAGACCCTATACGAGTTGCTCTGCACCCTACAAATTGGCAAGGAAGAAAACAATTTGACGGTAACAGATTTTAAGGGATAAGAAGACATATCAGCTAAAAGGAGAATCCAAATCTTACATGCTGAACAATATGATTTTAGGGTCTCCTACAGGGTTTAGCCTCAGAAAATTATTCTATATTGATACATCTCATTCTTCCTTTTTCTCAAGTGTATGAAAGGAACATTAACACAATGGTTTACAATATTAACCATTGAGTAAATTTCCAATAAGACAATGTCATTAATTACAATCCTTTTTCCTTTAATACAAGTTAGATCAGAACATGTAAGCTACTATCAAGGATAAAGTAAGCATCTATTACCTCTGCATCTCCAAGTCACTTGTACTGGTCTTACCTACTTCTATGAGTATGAGACATGTTCATTGTATCTTCAGCAATTTCTGAGATAGATTGTACCAACAGAATAGTGAATCAAAGCACCTGCTAAATGCAAAATATCAGTCAGCAAGAAGTGAAATGATAACATTTAAAAAAAAAGGAAACTTGGAGAAGAATTCAGTTGATGTTACCTATTCTTATTCTTAATGTACTTTTGAGTGCATCTATTCAGTTTTAATTTCACATCCACATCCTCAAAAATAATAATAATGAAATAACCTTTTTGCATCGGGATGTGGGTGGTAAATTTTACCGTTGACCTTTGACAAAAAATTTACAAAATTTTCCAACCTTTGCACACAAATTTGCGGTTCTTTCATGTGCAAACTTGCCCATAAAGTGATGAAGAAAATTATTAGCACAGAAGAAACCAAAACCTTCTCAAAATTACTGATTCGTAAAGATAATATTTTACTTCAATTTTAACCAAGAAGATTATCCTGAAATTACAGCTTGAAATCAAAAGAAACAGTAAAATACAAGACATGCTGCAAGTAAATTCAATTTTAACCTATGCAAACGAAGGACACGTGAGTTACAAACAATCTCATCCTCGCTTTTCTTCTTGTTCCCGATCTCACCGCTGCGAGTCACGAAGTTTATCTCTCCAGCCTTATTTGTCAATCGAGTCCAATTTTCATCGATCTCCAATTGACTCCACTCTCTCCGAAGATCCACTATAATTCCCCTCCCTTTCACGATCTGTCGTTGAGAACTAAGGAGGAGAAGGATGGCAAGAAGCTTAGGTTGTAGAGAGTATATCCGGCAGAGGCGGGAGGCCAAGGATTCCTAAAGATGCGAAAAAGAGTGAACAGTGAGTATATAGAAGTGATAACGAAAAAAAATAATAGAGAATAGAGAATGATCTGAGTGGCAAAGTTACCGTGGTGGCCTCTCGGGGAGCTGCATACAGAAGGAGCAGTTCGAAGTCCACTGAGAATATCCAACACATCCTTCCCTTCGCATCCTATCTTCTTCTCCTCGCCACCGTCGTCTTCCTCCAACCCAGCCTTCTCGCTCATGAGTTGTTGACGTTTCTTGACCTCTCCAGTTTTGTTAAAGAAGCGTCATAATTACCAGCGGATTAAAGAGGCAGCTAACATGCCATTGCATCGTGCATGTTTTGTGCATCAACTTCTCTTCATCCACCAGCACCCTCTTGCAGATGATATAGGCACCGTCACAATCGCATGGAAGTTGAGTAATGTGTGCCATTGTTAAAGCAGACAAGCTCGACAGAGAAAATGAAACGTGAATAGAGTGTATATGATGGGAAAAGATGAACAGTGAGTAGGGCAGGAGAGGCCATATGAATTGACAT